CTCTTGCTCAGGCTGGTCTCGAACTCCTGAGCTCAAACAATCCGCCCGCCTCGGCCTCCCAGAGTGCTAGGATTACAGGTGTGAGCCACCGCGCCCGGCCGAAAATCCATATTTCTGGGAAACAACTCAAAAGGTGAAGCAGTTAGTTAAGGAAAGGATTATAAAAACCATATAGGGGTTATTGAAATTTGTTCATGGAGCCGGTTACATTGGCAGGGTTGTGCTCCTATCTGGAGGCTCTAGGAATGAATTCACATCCCAGCGCATTGGCAGAATTCGGTTCCATGCAATTGTAGGGCTGAGGTCCCCATTTGCTTGCTGGCTGTCAGCTGGGGGGTCTTTCCCGGCTGCAGGCTGCCTGTATTTCTTGGCTTGTGGACCCCTTCTTCCATCTTCAAAGCCAGCAACATCAGGTCTTGTCCTCACGCGTCGACTCTCTCTGACCTCCCCTGCTGCCTCATCTCTCCTACCTGCCGCTTCTGCTTTTAAGAGCACCTGGGATACATTAGGCCCAGTTGGATAATCCAATCCAGGGTGACTTCCCTAGTTTAAAGTCGACTAATTAGTAAACTTAATTCTAGCCACAAAATCCCTTCACAGCAGTGACTAGATTAGTGTTTGATTGAATACCAAAGAACAGGAATCTTGAGGGGGACAGCTCTAGAATTCTGCCTACCACAGAAACTGTTCCTGAAGTCAGGGTGGGTCAGGCGAATGTGGCACATGGCCTCAAAGGTGTCTGCTACACCCACTGTGTCAATTAGAATGTGTTCACCTGCACATAAGAGAGAAAACTGCCAAACATGGCTTAAAGAAGTGCTTCTCAAACTTTGATGAGTGTATCAGTCCCTTGGGGATCTTGTTAAAATTCAGATTGTGATTCAGTGGGTCTGGGGTGAGATCTGACAGTCTGCATTTCTAACAAAACCCACGTGATGCGGATTCTACTGGTCCTCACACCACATTTTAGGGCTTAAAGTATAATGTGTCTATTACCCCACACATTAAGGAGTCTTT